AACCTCTAACCTTACAGCAAAATCTAGCAGATGTTTTGAGAAGGAAATTGGTTGTGTGTTTAAAACAGGACTTCCTTCTTCTAGTTGGACTTTTCTCTGAAAAACTAGGAAATTAATGGTGGATTCCACACTGCTTTTTAGAAGCCTGATTCTGACTCCTTACCTTCCTTCCCATAAGTAGCCCCAGAACTAAAACCAGTCATGTTTGGGGCTTTTCAGTTCTAGTGTGTCATACGAACCCTGGGTAACAGCTCAAACCTCACTTGTTTCATTTCCCAGCTAGAATCCTTCTACATGAGCTAGTGCCAGTCTTGTACAGAATTGGAAAATGCCTTCAGGAAAGAAAATGGTCGGGGATTTTCAGAAGGATCCTTCTCGTATCTTTGTAGCCTGGAATTCACATTCATCCAGTCATCTCTCCTATCTTTAAGATTTTGGAGGGTGGGTGGTCAGTTAGAGTTGACCCTTGAATAATGCAGGGCTTAGAGGTGCCAACCCCCCATTTGTCAAAAATCTGGGTGTGTAATGTTTGACCCGCCCAGAACTTAACTACTAATAGCCTACTGTCAGTCAGAAGCCTGACTGATAACAAACAGTTGATTTATACATATTTTGTATGTTATATGTATTATATACTGTATTTTTATAATCAAGTCAGCTGGAGAAAAGAAAATGTTAAGAAAGTTGTAAGGAAAAGAAAATACATTTATACTCCTGTGCTGGATCAAAAAAAAAAAAAAATCTGTGGACCCACTCAGTTGAAACTCATGTTGTTCAAGGCCAGTACAGTTATAGCTAGTTATAGCTAGACCAGAAGCATAATGTGATCTGTTACATCTGTTTGAAAGTAGAAATTGCAATGTAAAATTAAAAAATAATTTGAAGGGGTTCCCCCCCCCAAGGATTTTATGTTTATGCCTCTTAGAAATGAAAAATACTCTAAAGTGATAAGCATTATGGACAGCATTATTATTTTTATGTCATTGACAAAGATTAGAAAATGTTTTAGAATAGCTTCTTAATATGTCGTTTATAGACCAGCATCTCTTCCAGTTAGTTGTGTTTTCTTCACCGACAAGCTCCATTTGGTTGGCCCTCGTCTGTGAAAACTTATACATTAATGACTACAAAAGATTTCTTCCCTCATAAGGTAAATATATTGATAATGATTAGCTTTTATTTTTCCTGCTTGAAAAACAGACATTCTAAAAATGTTGTAAAGATCTTTTCTTACATATAATATAGGACTTAAAAAAAAAATAGGTGTCTTTTTCTTGACACGAATGCTATTTTGTGCGCGTGTATGTATATTTTCTAATCTACATCTGATTAGCTATAAAAAGCCTATACCCAAAGGAGACTGCAGGAAAATTGGAGATAACTCAGTTATTTTTAAGAACGGGCAGTGAACTGAGGAATTTAAATCTAATTGATTCATTTGTCAGAGAGACAGTAGCAAGCAAGCATCATGAAAAACATTACCTTTTCTATCAGTGATTAAGAAGTGAAGACCTTTTGTTTCTTTAACTGTTTTATCTAAACGTCCTCAAAATCAGTGACCTTGTGAGTGGGGGTAACTGCAGAACATTTGGACAACTGCATCTGTGTTTATATTTACCTTGGAAACTTCAGTTTACTGTTTGACAGGGGTAGTGATGCCCTTGACAAAGAAACATATTTTGCATGTAGGCTAATGGTTTGAATCCCACTTTTCTTTATTCTTCTTAATAAGCTGTTATTAGTAGCAAGCATTTATTTAGTGTTTACTGTGAGCCAGGTGCTCTAAGTACGTGAATATTCCTTACCTCTCTTAATCAGCAGAACTGCCTTTGGAATCAGTTCTTATAGAAATGCAAGCCTATCATCGTAGTAAGTGATGTAGCTGGGATTTAAACTGAGTTTGGTAAAACACCAAAACCTATATTAAATATAGTATCAGTACCACCTCCCTGTGTGACCTTGAGCCAATCACAGATATATAACTTATTCAGTGGCCAAAGGAGACCTGAATGGATAAAAATCTATTTATAGCCTTTGTTTATTTCATTTGTTGTGAATATTCAAACATGTTGCTGCAAAAATGGTAATGTATTTGATTTGGGGAGTGCTGCCATACAAAATACATGGTATGTGTACCGTATTCGCTTTCTAAATACTTTCTAAAGTGTGAACAATTCTGAAATCTCAAACATCCCCAAGTGGCTGTGGCCCCCCCGTTTAACATCCATAATAGTTTTCTTATCTGTAGAGATGTTAACCCCTAACTTAGTAGGTTTTAATAAGAATTATATTAAATAATTAGTATGTGTAAGTATTTAAGGTCCATGCTATAGAATAAGTATTAAATTTATTGGTATCGTTACTGTCATTATCTTGGAATTTATATTCAGCTGTGCAGAGTTTGGATCCTGAAGTTAGAATTGTCGAGAACATGAGCTTGCAGCTTGCAGCTGAAGCCTGACCCTTTGTCATGTCTGTGCGGGATTAGTAGGAAGCTACACCTTTCCCAGAATGTAGTTACTTTCACTTATCAGTTTAAAGTGGTAGTAATTTCCTCCTGTAACTGTACATTATCCCTTAGTGCAGGGTTTCCTAACCTCATTTGTGTCCTTACACACTTAGAAAATTCTTTCCTGAGATATGAGGGAGGGTGCTTGGGCTGCTCCTGCTCTCCAGGCTCACCTGGCCACCTGACGGCTGAGGGAATCCGCGTCCTGGTACACCTGTAACACTCCTCGGCAAAGCCGTGTAGAATTGGGTAGACCAGATGTGAGGGGAAGCAAAATGAAATGTTGGAAATTACTAGTGGAATTGCATTGGTTACCTCTTCTGTTTAAGCATCTATCAAAGTAGCTAAGAAAATCCACATCAACCTAGGTGAAATTTACAGTTTTTAAAATAGTGAATCTCTAATTGCTTGTCTTCTCATAGTCAAGAATGAAGTAAATTGGGAATTAAAAAAAGAATGAGGGGGTGCGCCTGGGTGGCTCAGTCGGTTAAGCGTCTGACTTCGGCTCAGGTCATAATCTCACGGTTCATGGGTTCGAGCCCTGCGTTGGGCTCTGTGCTGACAGCTAGCTCAGAGCCTGGAGCCTGCTTCGGATTCTGTGTCTCCCTCTCTCTCTGACCCTCCCCTGCTCGTGCTGTCTCTATGTCTCTCTCAAAAAGAAATAAAACATTAAAAAATTAAAAAATAAATAAAAAATAAAAAAAGAATGAGGTAGACTGACTATTCCACTTAATGCTTATATATAATGTATTTGTTGGCATCTTAAATATACTTCATTTGTAAGCTAGAATTACGAAGAAACTATAACATTGTCTTAGCATTTAGAGCACTTCTAAGAGTAGATAGGACCAATGACACATTTAATTTGTGGCATTTGTTTTTTTTTTAAGGGGCTGACATTTATTTCTTCCCCAAATATTACAGTAAAAATCAGGTGGGGTAGGATAATTTTGTCAATTTTCATTTGAAGGTAAAATTCAGAGATTGGCTGTTATAAGTTACTTGCAACAGGCTTGTACACACAGGCCACAAGAAGTTGTTTCAATTATCCCTCCCCCTCAGCCAAGCCGATAGCTACACTACCAGATAAAAAAGGGGTAAAGAGTTGGTTCTCAACCAGATATTTCCAGAACATCAACTGACACATTGCCCTCAGCCATAAATTCAGGATGGGAGGCGGGGGGCGTGGCGAACAGTATAGGGAGCTGCCAGTACAGATACCCCACTTTGGCTAAGGGATTTGAGGGTGAGGAGAAACACTCTACATCTGATTGGTTTCTCTTAAAGGAAAGGGCCCTCCTTTTTGAAGGACTAAAGGAGGATTTCTTTTTCTTGTGTTTCTCTGTGACGGAGGAGACCCTTCCTGGCCTTCAGTGACCTGAATGGGGTTAGCTGAGTCTATGGCATCGCCAGTGGCCTGTTTGCAGTTGGCGGGGTTCCTCCTTACCAACCTTTGAGGGACAAATTTCCAGGGCTCTTCTCTTTCCCTGAACGCTTTACAGTGAGGTTTGGGACGGGAGGCAGGTGTCAGTGGAAACGGCCTCCTTGGTACTCAATTCTGGGGAGACTTGGAGCTCTGCTCAAACTGGGGGCTCCTTCAAGAGGAGTTTTCAGAGATAAAATATTTCCGACCACCTTACAAATCTGTCTTCTTTTAATACTTAAAAAATATTATAATTTAGGGGGTTTACCACCTTCAGAAGTTCTAAGGATATTGGATGATTCTATAATAGCATATAGCTCAGAATGTGTTCTGTGTTAATTTGGGAAGAATGTGGCTGGCATTCAGCACTTCTTTGAACCAGGGCATATAATTTATTAGCTGCGTTCCTGAATTTTTCACAGAATGTTACATCTTCATCTAAATCATAAATCTGAATATTACTATAAAACCTAACTGTTCCTTAGAATAGCATGGTAATAACTTTTATAAGAAAAAAGAACCAGTAACAAAAATTGTTTCCGTTATAGGAACAGAAGATAGAGATGGTAACACAATTCCAGAATATATGAAGTCATTATGACTAAAAATCATGTATTACACATGTATTTTATATTTTTTATTTTATTTTAACAATTGGTCTTCCTTGTCACCCCCACAGGCATGTTACAAAGATAAATACAGTCGCTTCTCAACTCCTCACTATTTTCAACCTCAAAAATGTGAAATGTTGACATGTGAGAGTTTAGAGATTAAAAAGTTGCAAAAAATGAGTTTTCTGTATCTTTGTGAAATTTGTAAGGCAGGTAAAGTGTAAGCTGTGAGGGCAGAGTTAGTGAGCGGTGAGGAGTATTCACACAATAGAGTGTGCAGCCTTGACGCTGTCGGTGTTGTGGATAGCAGTGCCGTGAGGGAGGCAAATCGGAGTTTACATGCCAAGCGTTGACAGGGGCTCTGCGTGTTTTGCAGATTCTCTTTCCCTAAGAACAAGACAAAACTTCGTTTTCGGGTAGTATTTCTCAGTTTTCAGAACTCACTTTTTCCTTTCAGAAAACTGAAGAATGGGAGACAGGGAAGACTGAGGCAGACATGGAAGAGTATATATGGAAAAATAGCCCCTCTGAAAAAAATATCCTGGAAACACTTCTCCAAATTAAAGCTGCTGAGAAGAACCTGGAAGTAAACAAAGAAGAGCTCCTTGGTACAAAAGAAGTTGAAGATTACAAAAAGTCTGTTGTTAGTCTTAAGAATGAGGGTGACAATGAAAATACCCTTTCTCAGTACAAAGAATCAGTGAAGAAGCTATTAAGATTGATGTGATTTGTGTAGAAAAACCTGCTTGATTTGTAAATTTTATGATATATCTGTAATCATTATCTAACTTGACATAAATTTCAAAATGTTAAAAGGAACCACTGTTTTATATCAGATTTAAAAATAATTCCTTTCATACTAATGCATAATGGCAACGATTATTCAAAAGATTTCTTATTTGTACAGTGTGGCAGTAGAACTAATTTAAAAATCAGGGGGCGCCTGGATGGCTCAGTGGGTTGAGTGTCTCACTTCGGCTCAGGTTTGTGGGTTCAAGCCCTGTGTTGGGCTCTATGCTAACAGTGCAGAGCCTGGAGCCTGCTTTGGATTCTTTGTCTCCCTCTTTCTGTGCCCCTCCCCTGCTTGCACTCTCTCTAAAAAATAAATAAACATTAAAAAAAAAACTTCAGGGGCACCTGGGTGGCTCAGTCAGTTAAGCGTCCGACTTCAGCTCAGGTCATGATCTCATGGTTCGTGGGTTCAAGCCCCGCATCGGGCTCTGTGCTGAGGAATAGCTCAGAGCCTGGAGGCTGTTTCAGATTCTGTGTCTCCCTCTCTCCCTGACCCTCCCCTGCTCACGCTGTCTCTATCTCAAAAATAAATAAAACATTAAAAAAAAAAAAAAAACTTCAGTGATTCCTTCTGGCTTCTGAAGTGTCTTTATTTTATTTCTACCGTAACTTTAATATTCCTATATATGCACACATTGTTTTTTGGTCACCTGCTATATTTCTTTCCCTGCAAATAAGCACCTGTTGGTTGCTATTGAATACAGATCTTTCTCAACTTACAATGGGGTTATGTCCCAATAAATCCATTTTAACATGAAAATATTAGAGGTTAAAAATGCTTTTTTTTTAATTTTTAAAAAATATTTATTTTGAGAGAGAGAGAGAGAGCACGAGCAGAAAAGGATCAGGGAGAGTCTTAAGCAGGCTCCACGTTGGCAGCACAGAGCCGAATGCCGGGCTCAGTCTCACAAACCGCGAGATCGTGATCTGAGCCAAAACCAAGAGTCAGACCCTTAACCAGCCCAGCCACCCAGGCGCCCCGACTTGAAAATGGATTCAAATGCACCCAATCTACCAAACACCATCACTTAGCCTATTCTACGTGAAACATACTCAGAACACTTAACATCAGCCTGCAGTTGGGCAAAATCATCTAACACAAAGCCTATTTTATAATGACGTGTGAACCATCTTATATAATTTATTGAATACAATATATTGAAATTGAAAAGCAGCAGAATTGTACGGGTACAGACTGGGTGTCAGTATACTGGTTGTTCACCCTCATGATCACGTGGCTGAAGAGGAGCTGTGGCTGCCACTGCCCAGCACCACAAAAATGCATGTTCAAAATTTGAAGAGTGGTTTCTACAGGATGCATTATTATTGCTTTCACATCATTGTAAAGTCGAAAAGTCATAAGTTGAGTCATAAGTCAGGGCCAGCTGTAATGATTCTGGTTATTTGGGAAGCCAGGTTGAGAACACAGTCCCCTGAATATAGTGCAGTGCTTTTTTACATAACTGCTGTCTACACAGTGCATTTTTCACAGATGCCAATTCTGATTCGAAACAGGTCCTTCAAAGTATTTTCTAACCTAAACATTTTGCTCCATTCCTCTCTTTTGGGCTCACTTTATGTTAATTCAACTCTGTTTAGCCTTCAGTTTTCTGTTTTCTAGGGCTCATTTCTCCAAGTCCTAGCTTGCAGAAAAGTAGAAATGGAAATTAACTGGTATTCATCTCTCTCTAGATTCCCCAATTAGAGCTTCTACAGCTCAAAAAAGAGATGAAGTGTAAGGACCTTGAAATTAATTAGAGTAAATGACAAAATAAGAACTGCTCTAAGAAACATTCCATTCAATTTAGCTGTCAAGTCAGTATTTTTAAGTACATCTGTTATTTCTTAACCACTTCCAAGTTGTCACCAAGTGATCAAGTTAAAGGAATTACTGAGTTTGATATTTGTCTAAGACTTATTTTGCCTAACAGAATTAGAAAACATAAAGCCAAAAAGAATTTCAAGACAGTTACCCAAAAGATTTGTATGAAATGAAGGTATGATTTCTTATCAGCAAGGCCAAGAATCTGTAGGTTATTAAGGACAACAATGTGACCTTGAGTGCAAAAAGGAGAGATGTTCTAATCCACTGCATGGAAATAGTAAATGAAAAGCAAGGTAGATAACACAACTTTTAGATCAGGTTTGAAGCATAATTTCAATGTATTGAAATGTTATATCCCTTACAGATTCATAGAGTTTAGGAAAATTCAGATGCAGAGACAGATTGAAGGAGGAAACATTTCACAGGTTGAGGAGCAAAGATCATTTGGGAACACGTAACGAGGTGGTAGATGAGGGTCATCCGTCCTATAGTAATAATAATACCATGCAGATGAAAGGAGAGGAAGTAATAATGTGTAATAAAGAATTTGACCTGGCCCTAAGAGGTCTGGACTTTGCCTACGGCTTCTGGAAGATAATCTTGGTCATACCTCATAGGAGCGTCTCTGTTTAAAGTGAGAGCTAGTCACAATGGGTTTGAGGGTGGGGCTGACCACACCTGATAGTCTTAGCCATGCTGGAGAAACCACCTGATTTAGAGCGAGGGGCATTGAGTCACCTGGGGTCAGGCCACCTGGCGGCTGAGATCAACCAGGTAATCAATCAGTCATGCCCGTGTAATCGAGCCTCTATAAAGTCTTTGAATACTGAAGCTTATGCAGGTGTCCCTGGCTGGCAATACTCTAGGCATAGTGTCACACGCTGGGACAGAGAAAGTAATGCATCTTGCTTCTAGGGGGAAAGGACACGGAGAAGCTGTGACTTTGGAACCTACCAGGACTGCATCCTATGTGCTGCTTCCCTTGGCTGATTTTAATCCGTATCCTTTCCTTGTAACAAACCATAACCGTGAGTATTAACAGCTCTCCTTGAGTTCTGTGAATTATTCTATTGAATTATCAAACCTGAGTGTGGTTTGAAGACAGAGCTTCCCCCTCCAAACTTATCTTGTAGATAAGTTGGTATCTTGTAGAGCACTGTACCTTCTAAGCCTTTGCAGCTTGGCTATCTGAAGGCGGCTGACCTCAACACAGCTGCAGGCCTTGATGCCTAATGGCAAAATCTTAGAGCTATAAGATTAATACAAAAGTCCTCAAAAGGAAAGCAGTTGCTGTCATTGTAATTTTAGCAATAATTAAACAGCACTGTTTGTCACTAATCAGATCTTTGTTCCTTTAATTGAGCCAATATATACAATGAACATGAACATATGTATCCTTATAATGAAAAGTCTAGGGGATATTTGCTACATTGATAGTCGCTGCTGACCTCAAACTCTTAAAAGTTACATAACTCAGAAGTTGCTTAAACACATAGGCAACTAAGAAATAGGACAAATCTGTTTTCTTAATTGTAGCATCCGTTAGTTCTTTCTTTGCATATATTCTTCCCAACATTGGTAAGTATTTTGTAATCCTGGCCAATTACAGACTTTTTAAAAGATGTCTGGCTCGTTACAATGTTGGAAAGATTTCAGTATCATGGTTACTTTGCAATTGAGTGTAACAGTCTTGGCCTTGGTGGTTAACTGGACCTTGAGAATCTTTGTTTCTTAAGAAAGGTTTAAATTCTATTCACATGTTCTCTTTGGTCCTTTTGGCTTCCAGGAAGGACATGGTTTTTAGGCCAGGCAGTTTTCGCTTCCTGACTGACTCTGGTCTGGTTGCATCTGTGCTCTAAATTCACTCAGTTTATCTCATGGTCAAAGGCAGTTGAAGAAGAGGAGTGTGAGTTTGTTTTCTTACACAGGTAAATATGTTTTCTCAAATGATGGTCATTTCTATAAAACCATCAATTTTCGGGAAGGAGCAAATTCTGAGAAACCTCGGAAGAAAAAACTTTCTAGCAGCCCTAGTTTTTCAGGAAACCTTTAAACAATGTGTATATATTTTTTTAAAGTAAATAACCTTTTAAAAGATTATATATACAAATAATATTTAAAGACTGCTTCTTGAATTATTTATTTAAATATAAATTTAGGATAATTTAAATCTTTATATCCTCCCTACATAGTATGGGACTTCCCCTAGTGAATTAGGAATGACAAAAGTTATATTTAATATTATGACTAGCAAGTAAGGGAAAATTGATGAATTTTTTTCCACACTTTTTCCACACTTTTTTTTCAGACTTTTATTGTGGCTAATTTTCCACTGGTAGAGATTTTGTAAAATTTTTTCTTATATTAAAAAAGAAATAGACATCTCCCCCCCACCCCGCCCACCCCAGCGTATCAACAGCTAGGGAAAGAAACAGAACCACCTCTTAAACCACTGGGCAATTTGTTTTAACATAAGAGAGAACTACTATTTTATTAATCCTATAATAGGGTTTCCTCTTACCTATTCTTCATGCTTATTGCCTGTCTTTTAATATTTGTCCTCACGTTTAAAACGAGTTTCAGGGATGAGATGAAGGGCCTAAAGTTCAAAATCAATGGAGACTTGAATTAAAGGTATCTGCACTTGGGAGTCTGAATGTAAGATTCAGGAAGGTAGATCTGGTGTAAAATTTGGATAGAGCTGAAATGTCTACAGCTAATATTTGCACCTGGGAAAACAATGTATAAAAAACAAGTGAGGGATGTAAACTAAAACTCCCACTAAAACTATTCAACAGAGATCAACACAAAACCCAAAGGTTCCAGTACCAAGGTTATTTAAAGACATGTCAGCTTCAGAAAATGAAGATGGATTAGGATTTAAAAGAATTAATCAGTTGAACATGAAAACTATATAAAAATAGGTAGCACTTGCACCTGGGTTAGTAACTAATAATAATGCTCTTCTGTTCAAACCACTACAAGATTTTATTAACATACATGATAATAATTTGCCCTTGACAGTAGACAGATATGATATTTTCCTCTTTGTATCTTTTTTCCATGCACTTTGGGAAAATGGAGGCTTTCAGTCTGAGAGTGATTTCAAGCATGAACTTTTGAACCCAATTGCCTATTAAGTCCTGGCTTCACTACTTACTGGGTGTGTGACTTTAGGCAAGATAGCCTCTCTTCTCATTTTCCTCGTCTGTAAAATGTGACAATAATACTATAATGGTTAATAAAAAGCACACCTAACTCATAAAGTTATAAGAAATCAATGAGTGAATACATGCATAGCACTTAGAACCCTATCTCTCATTCAATGCTGAATAACTACAGGGGTCAGAATTCTGGAACTTTGGCAAAGGGTACACTTTGAAAAATGGAAATAACTTTTTAAAAAGCGGTTAAGTTTACCAAGCATTGGCCTTTTTTTAGAGATTGGTAGGAGTGAGCATTCTGTGCAATTATTTTTTTTTTTGCAATTATTATTTTTTAACCAGACTGCCCTTGTTTTACAGAAAATAAAAATGATACTCTTGTAAGCTTACACTCTCCCTGTAACTTTTACCATTAAGAGTTCTCCTTCAGAGTGTTAAATTTTTTTTTAATGTTTTATTTATTTCTAGGAGAGAGAGAGAGACAGCGTGAGCAGGCGAGGGTCAGAGAGAGAGGGAGTCACAGACTCTGAAACAGGCTCCAGGCTCTGAGCTGGCAGTCAGCACAGAGCCCAACGCGGGGCTCGAACCCACGAACCACGAGATCATGACCTAAGCGACAGTCGGACGCTTAACCGACTAAGCCACCCAGACGCCCCCAGAGTGTTAAATTTTTTAATTTGCCTGGGTCCTGACTTTCTCTGCCCTGGTTTATACTGCCTCTGCTTTCTACAGCATCCAGATGCCAGGATGATTATACAACAGCAAAGAAAGATGACAGAGGCCACCAGAGCCAGCCATATATTTGGAGTCACAGATGCCCCGTCAGGTGTCATGTCTTCATCCTCAGATGTGTGGTTTCTGCTGTTGTACCCCTTGGTTTTGTTTAGTAGTTGTTTGCTACTGTTGAGTCGGGATGGAACAGGCCTAGGAAAAAGTTTTGTGTCTACCGGCATAAAGAAAGGAGAAACAGTCTTGTTATCTGGATTGTTGATGAGATCAGTACTGCGTGACACCATATTCACCTCTGTGGTAATGGACTTATTCAGGGAAATGAAACTTGCCCAAGAATCTGTGGTTAGTTCCTTGGAAGACCTGGTCTTGTTTGTGTTTACAACCAAATCTTGATGTGTGTTTGATGATGGTGCCTCTACTGACGGTGGCATTGGGTTTATCGTGGTGCTTTGGTGTTTACCTATGTTCGCAGCTTTTAGAATCCTTAGTCTGTCCCCTGTATTAGATGAACGGGTATTTAGATATGTAGGAGGTGATTGTTCAAAAACCAGCAAATCTGGATCTATACCTGAAAGATAAATAAGAAGTCTTATTATAAGTAAGAAGACTTGGAGGAGTCTTGGATTTGCCACCAAGTTAGTGAACTGAGTTTAAGTTCAAGTTCCACTATCGCATACTTCTGAAAGCCTTAGAAACATACTGGCCGCATCTGAATTTATCTTAACTTTCTAGGACACTTTCTGTTATGAACAAGTTTGGCTACTTCGTGGAGGATTCTTTGCATCTACCTGGGCATTTGGGTAACAATAGACAGTGTTAATACAGGAACTGCAAAAAAAGAAAAAAAACAAAAACAAAAACAAAAAAACAACCCAGTAGCCATTTGAGATATATAGCATTTTAAAATAAAGTTTTAAGAGGCACCTGGGTGGCTCAGTCTGTTAAGTATCTGACTTCGGCTCAGTGCTTGTGAGTTTGAGCCCCTCATGGGGCTCTGTGCTGACAGCTGGGAGCCTGGAGCCTGCTTTGGATTCTGTCTCTGTCTCTCTAACCCTCCCCTGCTCGCTTGCTCTCTCTCTCTCTCTCTCTCTCTCTCTCTCTCTCTCTCTGTGTGTGTGTGTGTGTGTGTGTCTAATATAAAATAAAACATACAGGGGCGCCTGGGTGGCTCAGTCGGTTAAGCATCTGACTTCAGCTCAGGCCATGGTTTCACGGTTCATGGGTTTGAGCCCTGTGTCGGGCTCTGTGCTGACAGCTCAGAGCCTGGAGCCTGTTTCAGATTCTGTATCTCCCGCTTTCTCTGACCCTTCCCTGCTCACACACACACACTCTCTCTCTCTCTCTCTAAGAAATAAATAAAGCATTAAAACAATTTTAAATAAAACATACAAAAAATTTAAAGTTTTAAAAAATAGAGCCTGAGAAGTGTAACTGTGTTAGAAATCATGAGCAAAGCCCTCACTTTGATCCCTTCTCAGTTCCTGAGGGTCCTGACTTTGTCTTCAGTATTTTCTCTCCTTGTAAAGGAAATCCCTTCCCTGACTTCAAATATGTACAAACATTGCTCCATCTGTAAAGGGGAAGGAAAAAAACTCAACAGCTTTCCCGTTGTCCCTGCTATCAATCAGTTTCTGTGTCTCTCTCCCTCTAGACATACTAACATCCGTTTCCTTTCTTTGGTTTTTGCCTTCTGTCATCTTGTCCCATCCCCACTCTTCTGTCAGAATATGCTTCTGAGGTAATCAGTACTTTCGCTATTTCCTGACCAGTCTCACTGCTTTGGCAGTCTCTTATCCTCGTCACTGCTGGCCCTCCGTTCCTGAAAATTCTCCCGTACGTGACTCCATGAGGCACAGACTCCCTTGGCACTTTACCCAGACGGCCTGCCTCTCATTTTTCCTTTCTTTTGCTGGTTCTCTTCTTGGTCCTAACTGGTTGTATACCTTTCACAATCTTTAGTCCTTTGTCTTCTGCTGAATTTTCTCTTCATCTCACCACACACACACACACACACACACACACACACACACACAATTATCTTCAACCACTACATCGGTGGCACTGAAATCCATATCACCAGTTATTTCCTCTTTCTTGGTCGCTGGCCTCATTTCTCCCGTGCTCCACTGAAGGTTTCCACCTGGGCATCTTGCGTCATCACTGAACATTCCCAGAACCAACGTCATGTTGTCTGGCGCTTTGTCACATTCCGTGGCATCACCAGTCTTCATCACCCATGCTGCAATCTGTATGTATCGCAGCACATTTTCGATTCCTCTCTCTCCTTTTTCTTCCTCCAAAAAGTAACTACATCTTATCAAGTTCCTTCCCAATGTTCTGGTAATCGTCCCTCCTCTTTACTGTAGCCAGATCTCATGCCTCCCTGACTAGATTTCCTGACTTGCATCTCACGTATAATCTTCCTTGACTAAAGACAAGCAGACTCGTCACTTTCATGATGGCAGTTTCTCACTAAATACGTTTGCTGGTTCACTATTCCTGTCAGAGTCAAACCAAAATTCTACCCTGTCCAAAGCCCTTTTTTGTGACCTGGCCTACCCTATCTTACCCATATTTTCATTGCAACCCCAAATGTGCCCCTTTTGTAGCTAGACTTGTTTTCTCCATGTGTGATACCGAACTCTGTATCTTGTCTCTGCCTGGTCTCTTCCATGAGGCTGCTTCTGAATTTAGCTTTCTTTAGTCCCCTCTTCTTTTGGGTGCTTGTACTTGGGGAAGTGTCACACATTTTTGTATTCGGTTACACTTTTTACACTAATTGTGAGACTTGTCACATCAGCTAGACTGTAAGGAACTCGGAGACAGAGAGATGGCTGCAATCTTCTGCGATGCTGCACACAGCCTGAAGCGTTAGGTTTTCACTAAGTACAAATTGATGACGAAATTGATCTTCTTTGTATTTTGGTGGCAAAAGTCTATTTTTTCATCTTTATCAAATTGCACCCTGAGATTATATATAAGCAAGGGTCAATTAAAATGGGTAGTTTTCTAAAATAAAATATACTGGTTATTTTGGGACCACTGGTATCCTAACATGTTAGTAAGTGCATTTCCCTATCCTTGACATCCACGTCTGTAGAATCCTTGCATGTGTTGTCAGTGGACCTCAAAACTGTCATTAAGCAATTTTATTTATTTCCTGGTAGCATCCTTTGCCACTGTGGTTGAAATGCCTATTTTTGGCCCTTGCTAGGGGCCCCTGGAATAAATGTAATGCTTACGCTCTTCTTCAGTCACGCGTGATGTGTGATCATCTGGAATGAGCTCATCATTGCTGAACATGTCAAACTAAGGGGAATATCCTTCTAGTTTTCTTCCCTGGATGCCCCAAACTTTTCCAGATAGAGATCACTGGAAAAGAGTGATTCAGGGGTTCGCACATTGTTACTGACAACTAGCTTTTAGGTTATATGTCTCTACTAGAATATAATCAATATTCTTCAAAATTAAAAAAAAAAACAAACCCATAAATCATTACCTTCTGTTATGTTGTATAAAATGGCACTGGTTCCAGGCTCTAATACACAGCTTTCCAGCGTTGGGCAGTGAATATGGAGGCAGTTGACATTGTCGTGAATAGGATCATGGTAGAAGACAGCCACGTTACAGGAAACTGAAAGGAAAACAGGCAAGGTGCATCTGCAGATGGTCTTGGTTTCTACTGGCTTGATGAGCTCTGAGTAACTTAACATTTCTTTCAAGAGCATCCGATTAACAGCAAGCAATACATTGCAAGGCTATGTTCAGATATTCCATAGAACACTGTGAACTATAGTAACTGTTTGTATGAATATGGAAAATGCCTTTTGAAAGACACTATCCACTAATTTTCTCTAATCTTTTACACATTCCATTCCACACAGGGTTACCTGGAATCGTTTCCCAATCCCAGCATTTTATGTTCAGGAAAAGTTCAGTTGGCTACAGAAACCTCTGGGGATTTATACATATCAGATTTCTAGGTGCGAGGCCATCTCAGAAAGCTAACGTTTCTCTGAGTTCATCAGAGAAAGAAGTAAGAAAACAAAGTGACAAATGCTATAACAAAGGAGGGAGGGGGTAGTGGGAAGGCAAAAAACGGCGTTACTGGGAAAGGCCCCAGTGGTGGACAGGCAGCAGGTCAGGTGAACGTGACTCTGACCCTGATTAAAGGGGAGCACTAGCCCCATGTTGCAAACCACGTCCAATGAAAAGCCTGTTCAGTATCATTTAAAGAGGAAGAGAGTTGACCATCAGGGATGTTAGGATTTGGAATTCTACTGAGTAGGGGAACATCCATTACTCATGCTGCCTCCCCTTTACTAAGTAAGTTTGCTCCTTACAACATATCATATTATTTCTGGAAAACTTCAGTCGGATTTGTGGAGTGCCAGTCTTCAGTCTGTCCTCCTTAAAGGGCAACACAGATTTCCCTCCCGCTGCAGTGAGTAAGCACCGTGTTGCTGGGAAACATCCACTGGCCAATGGTATCAACTTCTTTAATAAAAGAAGATTACAGAGAGGGGGCAAGCAATTACCAGACCTCAGACGATGCCTAAGGCTGTTGTGGAATTGCTGCCAGCAAAACCTGTGCTGCTTCTGTGTAAGGTTAACTGTGGCCAGTTGCATCTTCCCCCTCCCCCGCCCCCATTGTTTCTGGGACTGCCCATGTTTCTGCACTCTTTCGTCTTTCAGTAGGTGAAGAATAGGACAGAATTCACTTCTGTCCTAAAATACATTCCAAGACTGTGCTGTCAAGTTCAAGGGAAAGGACTAAAATACATTCAAATTTAGATGTCTAAATTTCTGATAAGCAAGTAGTTGATGCTGTAGAGAACAATTTTAAAAGATGTTTTCTATTCCTCTTTGTGTATACCTCAGAGTTCCAGCTCCAAGCAGGTTAGCTATTGCCCGACTGTGGCTTTTTAAAGTTCTGGCTCCCAGCTAAAAACAGAGACGTGTGTTCGTGCCCTTTCTTCTAGAGGAAGAAAACCACAACTTGGAAACTGCAGAGGCTCTAAAATCATGGAATTCTACTGGATGCGTATAGTGTCCCTGGAAGTTCAGAGGACAAACTTTCCCTGTGGTGGACAGTCAGGTAAGCTGATGCCATGGGAAAATGCTGAGACGTATCCACCCCCCCCCCCTGCCTCCCTCCCACCTACCTTCCCTCAAGGCTTATGGGAATCAGAAGCATCTCTAAGGTGAAAGTCTGAATTGGCAACCTTCTCAGAAAGATTTCCCTTTAATAAATCAATTGCTCCCTTCTGTGCCTGATTATCTTTTGAGGGTTTAGTCTGGGACAGCTTCTCATACTGTGGTCGGTTTACACCCTTCTAGTAGATTCAGTCTGCATCCCAGAAATCTTACATGAGTACTTGGACAGGAAGCATTGGCAATTAATAAGTTGGTATCAAACCATGGAAAGAAAGTGTGAAACAACCAAGAGAATTATTTTCAAGTGTGTTGCTTTTGCTGTTTCTTTCCAAGTAGCTTTAAAATCTTGGAAAAATGAAGAACTAGTGAAAGAAGTGTTTAGACAATTATAGCTTGAAATTCTGCAATAATGAAATGTTTTCCTAATTGTAAACCTTGATCATATTACATGGATGATGTTTAATCTTGATTCTGGATTTCAGACCAAAAAAATCAGAATATTTTGAAAGTATGCTTTTCTTTCTTTTTGCCTTTTGACATATTTCTGCCTATGTCTTTCAAAACATCGATCACAATCTAAATTCCTATTTAATGCAGCCCACATTTGGTCAACACAAGTGAACACATTTCAAAAACCTGAAATACCAGTATCACCAAGAGAACTTTGATAGGGGAATTATAAATACTTTTGAGATCAAATATGCCATATTTGGGGCTAAGAAATATTGTTAGTTAACCCTCAAGGAAATATTTTCATTTAGCCCTTCAGTGAGGAAAAGAAGATTCTCTGTTACCTGTAGTTTCCATGGCATTCCGGGTCATTAACAGATTTGTAAACTGAGCCAGCCCTGACCCAGACCGGAAAGGCAGTCTCAGTCTCCAGCTCTCTTCCCTCCCCATGGCTCTCCTTCATCTCCCCTAGTCCTGTTCATCTTTTTTTTTTTTTAATTTATTTCTAGGAGAGAGAGAGAGACGGCGTGAGCAGGGGAGGGTCAGAGAGAGAGGGAGTCACAGACTCTGAAACAGGCTCCAGGCTCCGAGCCGGCAGTCAGCACAGAGCCCGACGCGGGGCTCGAACCCACGAACCGCGAGATCATGACCTTAGCGAAAGTCAGACGCTTAACCGACTAAGCCGCCCAGGCGCCCCTAGTCCTGTTCATCTTTATCAGGAACCTCTACCTAGGGCTCCTTACTTAGTCTTCATTTTGTCAGTTTCTCCTGATTCTTGCCCAGGCGTATCTTTCACACTTACCATCCTTCCTAAGGCAGCAGCTCCTGCTGCATTTCTGGCCCGTGCTTTCAGAATAATACTTCAGGAACTGAGCTCCCAGCTTCTGAGACTCCTCCAGGTCAACCAGAAGACCCGGAAAGCGACGGATCCAGCAGTCTCTGTAAAAAATGGTGGGTGAGCAGAGAGAGTGTGAGGCCCACACCATGCTTAGGAGCAGTATTATGCTGGCTGCCGCCACTGCCGCATGCATGTTCCTGGCATAAAGACTGGTCGAGGAACCTGAGTCCCAGACAGCTGCTGAAGCTGACCGTCAGTCTTCTGGACAGTTTCTGGAACTTCAGAGCTGTTGCTGAGGGACTCTCTGGGAGGGTCGCCTTCTAGAAAAACGAAACCAGTCTTTGACTGCATATTGATTTGTCTTTTGTTTCTTCCCAGCCGAGCCCTAAGTGACCATTTGACTTTCTGAGGTTACTTTTGAACATTTTCCAGGCCATTTCGGTACTCTATCCTTTAGCCTCTTGAAGACGTGGATTCTCTCCTCTGCTTTTCTTCTTTTTCTGAAAGGGAATAGTCACAGACACCTCTCCCTAAGTAAATATAAAGACGAATGGAAATCCTAGCCAAGAGTCTTTCTGAGGAAAACAATAATTTAGTCACTTGATGTCAGATAAAGAAGGATCCATGTCACCAGAAACAAGACATGTTTTTGTAAGGGCACTTCTACACAGCTTTAAAGGAACCTGTGACTGCAGATTTGTTTTTTTAATCACTTTTTTTCCTTTGAATTTACGTCCTAGTATTCAGGTTCATTAGAACGCCAGTTTGTGCACTGGTTTACATTTCTCTTATTAAAAACAAAACAAAACTTGAAAGTAAATGAACACTGAAAAAGAAAAAAAATAGTTTTAATTTTGCAGTGATTTGGAAAACACTGAATGTGGATCCCTGTCACTTCTTGGAGCTAGGCTTCCCCTTCCACCCCCCCCCCAAAAAAAAAGTCTAGCCGCAAGCTTTCTTTAAAAAAGCATAAATGAAAAGCATTATAGTGGAAATTGTGAGGAAGTTCAAAATAAGGTCTGTTTAATCTGTTTTCTGATATTCATGTTTGCATGTTATAAAGGAGACTTCTTTCTGAAGCATATACATGAAGGCACAGTATCTCTGAAGCAGAACTAGTTGCCAAGAAACGTGTATTCGGGAAATGATAACAGGGTTTTAAATTTCTTTCTTTCTTTTTTTAATGTTTATTTATTTTTGAGAGAGAGAGAACACAAGCAGGAATGGGGTAGAGAGAGAGGGAGATACAGATCTGAAGCAGGCTCCAGGCTCTGAGCTGTTAGCACAGAGCACAACCCAGGTCTAAATATTAATAAAATTACTTTAACTGCAAGACCAAAACATTTGAAAAGATACTAAAGGCAGCAAAAATGGCCTCTTACTTTTGTGAAGATTGTGGGTTCCATATCCTGTGATGATGTCCAAGATGACAAATTAGTTCAAAGCATAAAACTCTTGCTTTTGTGTATCCATTTTTATACAAAGCATAAGTGAAAATCAGCTTTTGTTATAAAGTACTGTAATGCTCATTTAAAAAAAAAGAAGAAGAAGATGCAGCTTTTTAATCTTGTGATCTAGGTTTCTTTTATACCTTTCGCACACTGACTCATTCACTTACTTGACAGAAAAATGTTAATATTCTTTGAATTTTCATCTCTCCACCTGTTTTGCAAAATAGTTGATCACATATCCTTTGATTTTAGAAACATATAATTTAATAATCAATAATAAGATGAAAATATTCACAAGACTGAGTGACTTTAAAAACATAACATTTCACTTTCTCCCAAGCAAAAATTATATATCATCAATTAACTCCTAATCTTGCATTAGCCACATCAACTAAACTAAAAATGATAAATACTCTATTCTATTGAACTTCTCATAGAAAGCAAGTTTCATTTGCTTACCTGCAAATAATCAGACTGTTCTGTGTGTTCCAAAGGCAAAGGGAAGAGATTTTTTTAAAGGCAAAGCAAAGGACAGGTTAAGAGCAAAAGATCACTCCTCGTTTCTCCTCGAGATTCCACAGTTGAGATTAGTTCATGCCCTGGGGACATAAACTGGAAAGTCTGCTTTCTAACCTCCTAACCTCTGTGTCTTTCAGTCACATGAAATGCAGTTTCTTTCGTGTGATATATAATTCCTTAAAGTTCTCATGTATCCTGCAGGGATAATGGAACAATGCACATTTGTTTAATCCTTTTCTGCCCAATGATGTTCAAGTGAAGATCAAAGTTGCATTTGAAAGAATCTATAAGTTCCAATATAAAAGTATGCTTTAAATTTTTTTCAATAATGTTTTTGGTGATTGCATAAACATTCAGTCTGGGAACCCGGAACTTCTTGGAGCCAAGTATTTGGAAACAGAGAGAGAGAAATTGCGCTGCAGGGGCAGAGGGAGGAATCCACAACAGGTTGAGATAGGTGACCCAGAAACATCTAGTCTTACAATTTGTCCATGTGAGATGAAATTGCAGAAGCCAAAAAGCAACTGCAACTCTGAATAAAAAACTGCTCTATAGCCTTTGTACAAATTTTATCAAGTACTCAGAGCCATTACACTACTGAAGTGCAGTGACATGCTGTACGTAATTCCACCTGGATGCTCTTGAGAGGGGTTCAAAAATTGGATTCTTACGTTAAAAACTCATCTCTTCCAAGAGGCTGATTCAGTTGCTCTAGAACCAGAAGTCTCATAAATGTTCCAGGTGATTTCCTAGGATGTCCAGAGAACACTGATATAAAATGGAAGTTTTGCCTACATGAAGATGCTCAATCTGAATTAAATAGAGACAATTTTGAAGACCTGTGCTACTTTAAACTCATTTATATCGTCCCATATATTTTAGTGAAAAGAAAATATTTCAGTTTTGTTTTTAAAAAAGATGTTTTTTGGGGCACCTGGGTGGCTCAGTCGGTTGAGCATCCGACTTTGGCTCAGGTCATGACCTCAGTTTGTGGGTTCGAGCCCCGTGTTGGGCTCTGTGCTTACTGCCAGCTCAGAGCCTGGAGCCTGTGTCAGATTCTGTGTCTTCGTCTCTCTCTGACTCTCCTCTGCTCATGCTGTCTCTCTCTCTCTCTCTGTCTCTCAGAAATAAATAAAACATTAAAAAAAATAAAAATAATAAAATAAAAAATAAAAAAGACGTTTTTTCCTAAAATATTTTGCTTTTCATTAAAGTGACACACATTTCACTTTAAAAATCCAAACCATACATGAAAGTACAAAAAGAAACACTGTTCAAGTGTTTATTTACAATCTTAATGCTTTGGTTAACATCCTTCTAAGACACATCTATAAAAAATAGATATATGAATACAATTTTACACACATGGATTCATACTGTTCCAGAAACTGTTTTTTAAAAATCCAATGTAGGGGTGCCTGGGTGGCTCAGTCAGTTAAGTGTCCAATGCTTGATTTCAGCTCAGGTCATTCATGATCTCACGGTTGTGAGATTGAGACCCACATTGGGCTCTGAGCTGAGTGTGAAGCCTGCTTGGGATTCTCTCTTCCCTCTGCCCCTTCCCCCCTAAAAAAAAAGAAAAAAAAAATCCAGTGTAAAATTATATATTTCAGGGTTTCTAAAGAAAGATCTACCTGTATATCCAAAGCTGTAAACGGCTCTATGGTATTTCATTCTACCTATGTATGGAAATTAACTCTGCACTTGAGCTTTCTCAGCTGTATAATAGAATAAAAAATAGTATTGTAATCCATGAAAAGTACTGAAACAGTGTCCGTCATATAATAAGCAGTCAATAAATGTTAGCTACTATTACTATTATACAATTGTTTTCCAATCTTTCATTATTAAAAGCAACACTGTGATAAACATACTTGGATTTTTTTTTCATTCTAGGTCATAAGGTATATTTTCCATAAATTCTTACAGGAACAGCTGTGTTTGACCCTTCCTGTAGTCTTTTGTAAAACAGATCATGCTACTATAAAGTGTTTGAAGTGAGTCATAGTACCAGAAAGGCCAGTCTTTATTATTCACTGATCAGTGAATAACAGATCTATAAAATTACACCACCAGGTATATATATGCAATATTTTCATGAGGCTTAGAACTAATGTTTTAGACCTTTTGTAAAGGAGTTTACATTGTTTTGATTTGGTATTTCTAGATGAGCACAGAAGGCTTGCTGTGTGAAATGTAAACTGATTTGATCTTTTAAGATACTTCCAGTCCTAAATCATGTTATCATCATATCAGGGCCAAAAGGCTTACAGGTCCAATGTCCAGTATTGTCAGACTTACGCCTCAGATTCCCTGTCCAAGCTGATCTTAACTCTGATAATATTACTGTGCATGAATTGCCTTTCTAATGCGCATCATTCTTTGATAGCGATTTTTTGGGTCTGTTTTTAAAAGGCAAGAAAATACCAGTCAGAGGCATATCTATGACGTTTGGAAACAAAAGCATCATTGGTAAAAGATTCTAAAGGGACAGAGAAGAGACTAAGGGCCTGTTCTTGTTGGCTGACCCACTGAATCTGGCATTGTCGCTGACGGAGGCACAAGTAAATCCCAAGTCCAAGCCTCATTGATATAGGGTGTGTTTCCCAGCAAAATTCCCCAGCTTAAGACCTAAACTAGGGTTGGCACTTTATGTTTCTAAATTCATGGTCCCTCATCCACTACGAGTCTTAGAACGTCCTAACTGCACCATCACTGAAAACAGAAGTGTGAGAAATTGGTTGAGAATGGAGTTTTATCAGTAATGATTTAAAGGCCAGGTGAAACAAGGTGAAAAGCTAGAGGTTTTCCCAGTTAAAAAAAAAAAAGAGAGAGAGAGAGATGAATGAGGCAAGTCATAGATTCGTCTTTGTCTCCTTCACTTTCTCCAGGGAAGCCAGAATCTACTAGAACTTTTTTCTATGTTTTTAAATTTTTAGTTCCTTACTTACGGAGTTTCATAAAGAAAATAAGGAAGGACAACACCTCACTACGACCCGCTAAGTTACAGAGTAAGAAGCAAAATGTAACCAAAAAGGGTGTCAAAACGATTTCATGCCTTACCAATATGATTTTCTTCTCTGGTTTTTAATCTTTCCCCCTTCTAAATATACAATATTAAGAGATAGAGGTGGTATTAAGCGGTGGAGGAGGTATCTTATGTTTCATAAAGCAGAAATGTTCTTATGAAGAAGGTGTTATTGAACTTGTCATTCAAGAAGACAGATGGAGCTTGCAATAACAAAAACAAAGCCCGAACACATCTTCTTCCCAAGTTGAGGACTGCTGTAGCAGAATCTTGATATGGGAAATTTGTCAAGAAGGTTTTTGTTGTTGTTATTGTAGGACTACACCCTCTTCTCCCCCCCAGTCCTGATCCCTCCACCCAAAGGTAACCGAACAGTATCCCGCTCAACTCCGTCCAAGATTAATTCATATCTCATGAGCAACTCGAGGTCCTCACTATTTAGGGGCGAGCTCTCTATGCATTTCTTTGCAATGTCCAGTGAGAGACGCCAGGGAGGAGGGGTCCTCAGACAGTGAGGAGCGTGGGTACGGGACCACAGGAGGGTGGCGAGGAAAGCCACCTGTGTAGGCCAGGACCACCAAAAGCGGCCAGACCCTCTGCCCAAGGGATCGCATCGTGTCTTGGCCAGCCCAACCAAACTGAAATACGAAAAGCAATGTTGGTTACAAAACACTTCAAAAGAAGTCATGTGTTTTAACTCTGAGTTCCACTCCCGTCTTCGTTTTAACAGCATAAAGAGGAGTAACGGGCCCCAGCAGCAAATTCAAGTTGCCCTGCTTGCCAACCCTCTCCATCAGCTGCACCGGGCGCCCCAGCGAGCCCGGCCGAACCTGCTGCCAGCTGCCTGGGCTCTCTTTCTGCAAGATGGCTCCTACACGGTGACCATTGCGAAGACTCCGCTCTGGGGGCCATCGACGTGTGCAGGGACGGCCTCTGGGCCTCAGCCCCCTGGGACACCAATGCAGGATTGGGCTAGACGGGCGATCCCAGGTGTGATGTCATTTTGACCCCCGGGACCCCAGCCTCCTTTCATCCCGTTCCTCCCACGTCTGGCTCTCCTGTCTCCCATCTCGCAAAGCAGCGCGGAGGAGCGAGCGGACCGGCTTCGTCTCGCCTCGCGTCCGAGCCTCGCAGGCACCGCGGCGCGCGGCGTGCGGGGGAGGCTGCGCGGACGCGGGCGCAGCCCCGGCGCCGGGCGCTCCCGGAAAGCCGGATCCGCCCGCAGGTCGGCCGGGCGGCGGGGGTCCCGCGGGGCGGAAGTGAGAGGCGACGCGTGGGAGGAGGCTGCAGGCTGGGGGCTGGGAGCCCCTCGGCGGCCGGCGCGGTGCGGAGAGCCCGAGCGAGGGCTGCGGCCGCCTCCCGACGCCCGGCGCGCGCCAGCCGGGCCTTTTTTGGCGCTGAGGCCGGGCAGACGCGGCAGGGCCGCCGCCCCCTCCCCGGGACCGGGAGGAGGGGCTGCCTCGGGGGCGCCGCGGCGACCCGGATAGGCCGGGCGAGCGCGGGCAGCGGGCGGCGGCCGGTCGCCGCCTCCTTCCTCCGCGGCGCCATCCCTCGGCGCGCCCAACCCGGAACCCGGAGAGCGCGTGGGGGCGGGGAGGCGAGCGCGCAGAGCTGGCGGGCACCCCCGCGGCCCCCGGCCCCCCAGCCATGTCGGCCGAGGAGATGGTGCAGATCCGCCTGGAGGACCGCTGCTACCCGGTGAGCAAGAGGAAGCTCATCGAGCAGAGCGACTACTTCCGCGCCCTCTACCGCTCCGGCATGCGCGAGGCCCTGAGCCAGGAGGCCGGCGGCCCCGAGGTGCAGCAGCTGCGCGGCCTCAGCGCCCCGGGCCTGCGCCTGGTGCTGGACTTCATCAACGCCGGCGGGGCCCGCGAAGGCTGGCTCCTGGGCCCGCGGGCCGAGAAGGGCGGCGGGGTGGACGACGAGGAGGAGATGGACGAGGTGAGCCTGCTGGCCGAGCT